AGCTGCAACTCCACTGTGTGGGCTTCTACAGGTTTTTTTTGTGGGAAGCCCCTGTTGTGTTTGGGGAGGACATCAGTACTCTTGGTCCTCTCAGGTGTACAGCTGAAAGGCTGCTGATGCTGGCTATGAACGGGTTCCAGTAACAACTGAGACACTCTTTTGAGTAACAAATAGGCTCGCTGCATTTGCTCTGGGGGCTTGCACTGTTTTACTTCCTAACATCAGATATGTTTGGGGTGTGCTGGGAGGCTGTTGGGCCTGGGCAATGAAGATAAGCTTGTGTGAGGCTGTACACAAGCAGAGCCTGGTGACTACAAAGTCCAAGCTTCCCCAGTAAGGAATGAAATGAATTCTCTTGGGAAGAGCTGTGATACTGGTATACTAGGCTCAGACTGCTGGAAAGGAAGAAGGGAGTGAAAAGAGCCAGGGAGCCTGTGTTTAGGTACTTGGCCCTAAACAGGAAGACGTGGAATGACAGTTCAAGGGCTCTGCTCAGTCTGACCTTTGTGCCACGAGTACAGACCCATCCCAATAACCTGCTAGCAGGTGAAAGCCACTCAGTAGCTACGGGACTGATTCCACTCCTTTCCTGTGGGAATGGCAACATAGCAGAAGGCTGGATCTTCAAAGGGATGCGAGGCTTTCTGTGTTCAGGGACCATCCCCTAGGTGCCCTAGCAGCCAACTATTGGATGCCTGAATCCAAAATTAAACTCCAGGCTCCCCATAAACTATGCAAGAAGAGGTAGGTGCCTAAGGAAGTGATCCTTAGAAATGCACTGTGGGGCGTGCAGGTATCTAACTTTGTCTTCAGCCAGAAGCACCAGGCAACACATTGCTGTAGCCAAACAAGTGCCAGCCCTGCTCAAGCTCCTCAGCCAGGAACCCCTCCTGAAATCAGGAGTCAGCTGCTTGGGGAGCTCATGTTCATTTCTTGATGTAACACGAGAATACAGATACCCAGCTAGTCTTCACTGGGCATACACGGACAGCCAGGTTCTTATTCCTCCTTGCCTGATTTGGTTAAACCCAAGTTTGCCATGTCACAGGGAAGCAGCCGAAGGTCCAGCCATACCGTGTTCTGAGCTGAGGAGCCCGTACTTGTATATTCATGGAGTGAGCTACAGGCTCACTCAGGACATGGGAGATGAGGGTTCAACTCACTACTGTCACACATCTTTACTTCCTTTTCTGGTTGTATTTTGGGCAAGTGCTATACTGTCCTTCCAGATTTTGGTACCCTGCAGTTTGTCATGCTTAGAGCATTCAGCTGGCATTGGGTCCCACTGGCAAGATAGAGAGGGAATAACCACAGAACTGGAAGGGACCTGTAAGATCATCAAGTCCAGTCCCCTGCTATGGGCAGGAAGTTACTGGGCTCAGGTGAGCTCAATGAGGTACCTGTCCAGCCCCATCTACAACACCTCCAAGGAGGGTGATCACACCACTTCTGCTGGGAGTGTGTCCCAGATTCTGGTGACCCTTAAAGAGAAAAAAGTCCTTTCTTTACATCTAGCCTGAATTTGTCCTCTATTAGCTTATGCTCATTGATCCTCATCCCCCCGTGAAGTGCCTTCCTGAAGAGCTGCTCCCCTAGATCCTGGCGTTCACCTCTGACATACTTGTAGGCCGCTATCAAGTCACCTAACATTGAACTATACTGTCTTCGGCTTCTGCTAGTGCTCTACACAGCCTTCGCTGTGCAGCATCAACGCTTAGAAAGCATTGCCTAGGTCACCAAAAATATAGACACTTTTGGGGGTTAGGCAGCAGCCAGGTGGGGAGAACATCAATGGCATGTACAAAGGTGGAATCGGACACTAAAAGGTGCCCAGCAGCTTTTGAAGATCTAGCCCTGAGCATTTACAGTAAAAACGCTCAGCAGCTGTTGCATCAAACAGGGAAGGTCCTGCCTGCAGAGAGAGAGATGGGTCAGGAGCTCCAGTGTGGCTGATAGCTTAGTAAGGCATTCATTCAGCTGCTGCAGATGGCACCACTGCTGATGTTAAAATAATTCCTTACAATCAAGCCACAGCTATGTAGCTGGGAGGCGAGAGCCCAGAGCCCACCACCTGGGAACTGCCAAGTAAGATCTGTGTCAGCCTATGTTGAGAGCCCATCCCCACTAGCCCTGTGGGAGTGGTGTGAGATGCAAGGGGATGCAATCTTACTGGTAAGCAGCAGGTAAACTACAGGAGGTGAAGGAGGTAGTCGAACAGCTGCTGGGCCCTGTGGTAGACAGGCCTGTATCTGAGAGCTAAACCGCCCCATGTGCCAAGCTTTACTATTCATGCCATCCAGGAGGAGCCCACACAGACCACAGAGGATTCCTCAGCCTGATGAAGAGTTTTTAAATCCAAACGCTTGCTAAAAAAAATTTTTTTTCAACTATTTAAGTTGGTCTAATAAAAGATACCAGTTTCACCCAAAGAACCTGGTCTGCCTATGTCCTTAGACCAACACGGCTACGACCTACACCCCTGTCACAGGAAAGCCTTAAGTTACTTAGCCAAAGTTTGTAGCAGATCACCCTCCTCCCCTGGCCGCAATGACATGCAGCTCAGACCCCTTTTGAAAGTAGGCCCTGCCATCCTTATTGGGCCAGGCTGAACAGGGGCAAGAAGACAAGCATGCCTTCCCCACTACGGTGCTAAGGAGAAAATCATCAGGAATGTTCCTGTGCTGGGTGAGAGGCGACAGTGCCGGACATGCTAGGCTGTGGGCTCAGAGGAAGACTAAACCGTATCTGGCTGCCACCAGACCAAGCTACTTCATGTCTCCTAGGACAGTGCATGGCAATTGGGTGGATCCAGAAGGGATGGGTTTTGTCCTATTGTTCCTTCCCCCGCTATGTCTTGATACCCCGAGGCTGCAGGACCCTCAGGTGACCTTGTACAGGGGCAGCAGCTATGCCTGACAGGCAAAAAGAAGTGTTGGGACAGGTATGGGGATGGGGAGAAGGGGTAGCTCTCCTGTTCCCATAGGCCAACCTATGAGTCCCCATCTATCACTTTCCCCAGAACAAGCAGAACCAGACTGCACAGCTGCAGGCAACAGGGCTTTGCAGGAGAGATGCTTGCTCCTTGTTGAGCTGGCAGCTTTGCACAGGCCCCATCATTAGCACAGTCCTGGAGGAAGTTTGTGGTGGCTGGGCTTTGATGGACTTTGTGCTCCTACCCCCGACCAGTGCAGTACCTTCCTCTTCCCTGCCCCGCTGAAGGCATAGGCCACAGAGAGACATGGGAGAGGGGTTGTGGGGAGGGGCACAGGTTTGCCCCAAAGCAGCCTGAGCATTATGGATCCAAGTTGAGCACAGGATTCAGCTCCGCTGTGCATTTCACTCACCTTTTCGAAGGAAAAAAACCAGCTTTGGGAGGGGTGGTGAGGGGGTTGTGTAGCCCCCTGAGGGTAGGATGTTAAATGCAGTGTTCAGGAGCTGAAGCTGGGAGGCAGAGCTGGTGACTCTTGGGGGTGGGAGAACACAGAGCTCTGGCCAAAAGGCACCCAGGTCCAACCCAGCATAACATTGCATTGGGATGAGTATTGCTGTCTTGTTTGGCTCAAACAAATAGTCCCATATTGTAAAACCTGGCCAATGAAATGTGGATCTTGAGTTATGCAGTGACTGTCGCAGCAGGTGCGGGAGGGATCGGGAAGAAGCTACATTTAAGCAATATTCTTCTTGCTCCTGCCCAGCACAGCAGTTTACAACATTTGAGTGATGTGATCTGGGGAAAAGTGCTTCCTTCTAAATATCAATTAAGAGGGTTGGGAGCTCACATGCTTTTCTGGTGCAAGGTCTGACTGTAGCCCAGTCTCATGTCTTGGCTTCACTGTAATCTGTCCTTGGAGAGGTGGAGCAATAGCAAAGGCAGATCACGAATAATGCAAACTCCAACTCTTCCACACCTGGAGGAAGCTGAGATTTCTTGTAGAAATCCAGATGTGTTGCCCTGCTGTGAAGAGCAGCTACATCATGGTTGCTAGGGTGGCTCTGGCATCTTTTTCTAAATAAAAGTGGTTAAGGAGAGTTTGCTTGAGTTCCTGCAAGTACCACAGCTTGGTGTAGAAGCAATGGTTATACACCCAAAAGGGTTCCCCTATGGAGACAGGGCTGTAGTCCCACAGAGACAATTCCAGTCTTGGGCACAGAGACAAAGTGGGATTCCCCTGAGTGAAGTCTCTGTAGCATCCTCCCTGGCAGCAGAGGAAATTTCGCTGGTAAAACTTCTGTCCTACACAAATCACATTAGAAAACAGGTTCCAGGCTCACAGTGAGGAGTTTACAGGCCAGGAATGACATCCATGCAGCTGGTAACATCCTGTTTCTTGCCCCACGAAATGGAGTGGTTGTTTGGTGGAAAGAAATGAAGTTCATCTCCTAGAGGTCATCCGGCAGGAGCGAGAAATACCCTACAAGAGAGAACCCCAGTGTCACCGACTAGGCAGGTCAGAGGGCTACCTCCCCCCACCCCAAGCAACAGTATGCACAAACATCGCAGCCAAAACCACCACATTTTCTCAGTCTTTTCCATTCCCCTCTCTGGGAAATGAAAATGTCTCAGCCTACGCACTGGTCAAAGGAGCTGGGGGGGGTGCAGGCAAGTCAGATTTGACAGTCGGAAAACTGCTGTGGGCCACTGAAACAAGCCATTTCTATGTGTGCCCAAGGAATGCGTCAGCACCAACACGGGGACGCGGCAGAGCCCTCAGCAGTACGCGGGCAGCCGGCCCGCCTGCCAACCGAGCATTTCCATTACCACTCGCCTGACGCTGAGGGCATGTGTTGGCCTGCAGAGCTGCGGGGGCCGGCTGCGATGCATGGGATGAGAAGGACCCGGTTTCCCCTTTGGACCCTATGCTGAGCTTGGGGCGCTGGCAGGTACAGAACGTTTTTGCTTGAAGACTGGTCGAATCAGATGGAAACAGCGACCGTGCCATTTGAGACTTGTGTTTCGGAGTAGAATCAAGAGCGTGCTTAATTTGCCAACAACCTGCACTGATTGAGCTTGTGACAGACGCTTTACACTCCGCGTTTCTAAGTGCTCATGCAGACGCGTGCTGCAGGGACAAGAGTCGAGCGTCAGACAGGTCACCGCTCTACCCGCGTCTAGCCAGCGAACTCAAGCTTGGTCAGGAGGTGCTCAGCCAGTCCTGGGGAAATCCCGTGGCAGCTCGCTGAGTAGAGAGCAAAGTGCCGTAAGAAAACCCTCGGCAGCTGCAGCTCCCGACACCGACAAAAACTGTTTGGCAGAATTCAAAGATAAATGCAACCCCCAACCAAAGAGAAACGAGTGCCAGCAGCCCCAGCCTGCCAGACTAAACCGTTTGGACGGTTCAGTGGGACTGAAAGCACAGGCCTCAAAGGGGCTGTCCAGCCTCTACATTCACAGGTAATCATCCGGGTTTTCCATTCCTCACAGAAAAATGTGGTAAAACCTGGATTTTTCTCATTTTAAGCAGAAAAGCCCAGATTTTCTCCTTTAAAGGAGAAAAACATAGGGAATGGTGGGTTTCCCCTTGCAGGCTGGCAGAGCTGCAGCCTGCAAGGGGCTGGGGGAGTGGGAGGAGGGTGGCCAGGCAGGGGGTGCCGTGTGCGTGTGCACACGTACACACGCACATGGACACCAGGCAGCCTGCGGAGCAGCTCCTGCAGGTAAGTCTGGCAGCAGGGTAGGGGGGGTACTAGCTTTAGCTGCGGCAACATCCTAATGCCATAGAGGCACATAGGGGAAAAAAAAGCCCCCAGAAACCAGTAACATTGATGAGGTGGAAAAAAAAAATTCTTCCTTGCCCCAGTGGCAGCCAGCAAAAGCCTGAGGTGTGTGTGTGCATACACACGCACGCATGCACACACACACACACACACACACACACACACACACACCCCCCGTCTTCGCCTTCTATCCCTTCCATAAACTTAGCCAGTCCAATCTTAAACTAATGCAGGGTTTTTGCCCCTGGCATGACTTTGCTTGGAAGACCATTCAAATGTCATTCCTCCGGCTAGCGCTCTTCTTCTAACCCAACCCTGCTCCCACCTTGCGCCCCTACTGCAACAGCTCATCAAAACTACCTACGTGGCCCTCCAGCCCAAATAACTGCCTACCTCTGACATACACTATTATAAATGGAGTCTCACAAATGCCTTGGTACAATGATACTGGGATCTTCTCATCTATACTGAATATACTTTACTTAATACATCCTAATATGGCATTAGACTTTTTCACAGCTGTATCATACTGGCAAGCTAATGGTCATCCTATGATCAACCAGTCACCAAGGTCACTCTCTTCCTCACATGTCAGCAGGCCACGTATGCCCAACTTATTAATAAAATCCTTTTTATTGGTTTCTTAAGTACATGACTGCACACTTTATACCATTAAACTTCATTCAGTATCCTATGCTTAATATCACAAGGATTAGCTAAATCTTTTTGTATAATAATCCTCTTCTCCAAACACTAGTTTAGTGTCATCTGCAGATTTCATGAGGACACATCTAACTCCAGTACCAACGTCATCATTAATAAATGTTAAACAGGATAGATCCGTAAGCCAATCTGTGAGGAACAGCACTGGGACCTGTTCTCCAAAGGGATGGACTGCAAGATAGATAAAAAACTGGCTGAATCCTCAGGCTCAACGGGTAGTGATCAATGGCTTGATGTCTAGTTGGCAGCTGGTAACAAGTGGAGTCCCCAAGGGTTGGTCCCTGGGGCCGGTTTTATTCAATATTTTCATTAACGATATGGAAGATGGGATGGAGTGAACCCTCAGCAAGTTTGTGGACGACACCAAGATGTGGGGAATAGTAAATACGGCTGAAGGGTAGGGCTAGGATTCAGAGTGACCTAGACAAATTGGAGGAGTGGAAGGGGGTCATCTAGTCCAACCCCCTGCTCAAAGCAGGACCATCCCCAGATATATCATCCCAGCCAGGGCTTTGTCTAGCAGGGTCTTAAAAATCTCCAAGGATGGAGGTTCCACCACTTCTCTGGGTAACTCCAGTGTTTTACTACCCGCCCAGCGAAAAAGTTTTTCCTAATATCCAACCTAAACTTCCCTTGCTGCACCTTGAGCCCATTGCTCCTTGTTCTGTCATCTGCCACCGCTGAGAACAGCCCAGCTCCATCTTCTTCGGATCCACGATTCAAACAGCTGAAGGCTGCTATTAAATCCCCTATCTTCTCTTCCCCAAACTAAATAAGCCTGGCTGCCTCAGCCTCTCCTAAATCATGTTCCACAGCCCCCTAACCATGTTTGCTGCCCTCCACTGGACTCTCTCCAATCTGTCCACATCATTTCTAAAGCCCAACAACAACTGCGCACCAGAATGAACGCACACCGAAAATCTATCAAAGACAAGAACACCCAACTACCTACCTGTGGGTGCACACTTCTCAGAGGGCAATCGCTCCCTCCCCGATCTCTCACTTCTAATCCTCAAAGGGAACTTTCAAAACACCTTTCACAGACGAGCCTACAGACTTCACTTCATAAACCCACTGGATACTAAACATCATGGACTCAATATAGACACTGGTTTCATGACACATGACAACCTGCCTAACATCTGATTCACCAGGTACCTACCTGCCTGACCTGACCTCTTACATTCTCCTTTTCCCCCACCTTTTTATGCCTTCCCTCCCCTACTTTTCTGCCCTTTGTCTCCCTGATTTCCTATCTCCGCCTTCTTTGAGAGCCTCTTTCTTAACCTGTATTATCTCTGTGATGTTTCCCTCTGGCCTTCCCCCCCGCCTTTCTTTGCCTCCCCTGCTTTATTCTCCTTCTACCTATTTATATTTTCACTACATCCTCTCACACTTTGAGCTTCTCTCATGCCTGTTTTCCTGATCTCCAACTATTTTCTTTTCAATGACAGCCTCTTTTCCACCTATGGGACTTCTTACCATCTTGTACCATCTATACTTTTCCCAGAGCCTGACGAAGGGATTTTGATCCCGAAAGCTTGCAGAAAAGGACAATTTTCTTGCCATTTTCCAGTTGGTCTAATAAAAGGTATTATTTTGGAACCAAGAGTTCGAGTTTTTTGTATGTCTTTTCCACCTTGTATTCTAGCACTGTAATATCTCCCTTTAGCCTTGTTTTCCCCTGTTCCCTTCCCCCTCCCCTCACTTCTTTACCTCTCTGCTTTAGCTTTTGTCTTTCTAATTACTACCTATTTACATTCTCACTGACATCCTGCTACACATTTAGCTTCTCTCATTCCTTAGTCTCAGCCCAGCAGAGTCTCACTATGCCGGAAACAGGGTGACTGCGCCCAAAAGCCTGCTAAGAAATTTTCCAACTACTCAGTTGGTCTAATAAAAGATATCACACCTACTCAGTAGTAGAAGGTGAAATTCTACAATTTAAAATCAGAAATAAAATGCACATTTTGCAAAGGTGAGGATAACTGATCACCAAAACAACTTACCAATGATGGTTGTGATGGATTCTTCATTTCATATTAAGACCTTTTTTTTTTATACTATGCCACAGGTCAAACAAGAATTGATGCAAGGCCTGTGTTACACTGACTATCAGACTGGCTGGCCTTCTGATCTATTTATTGAATTTTCTTCAGAGTGGCCTTTGGCTTCACTTACCTGTTCCTCTGTCTTACTGCCTGTCTGTGCTTGAAGATCTGCATCCTGTTGCAGATCTGTCTTGGAGGCTGGCCTTCTCCCTGGAGTGTCAGCTTGAGAGAGCTGGTCAGAAGAGCCATATTGTTTTCCTCTGGAGCTGCGTATAAGATCTTTATTCTCCTCCTGTGCAACAAGAGTAAAAGAGGTGAGGTATCATGTGCAATCATTCCAGTGACAAAGGCATTCACTTGGGAGAGTGCAGATCTGGGTCCTGCTTTCTGCTCCAAGGGCTGTCTCGATAATATATTATACATTCATTAGATAAAATACACAGCTCTCAGCTGTGTCCCAGCTACTGAACTAGGGAGTCACATTTACTCATCCCCTGGGTATTGAACCCAGGTTTCCTGCATGCGAGGTGAATGGCCTACCCATTGAATATTGTGTTGTATCCGCAGCTGTTGCTTTATACACGTTCATTCCCGTGGGTGTGTAGGCCAAATGGGTGTACATGCCCAGCGCATACCCAGTGGATCAGGATCATCATTGGACTTGGCAGGAGAATGCTTAGTTTGTGAATCACAACTGAATTTACATGTAAGCTAGGGCCATGCTGCTCAGCCCTGACAACGTGGCAGCAGGTCTGGACATGCAAAGAAGCAGAACTTGATGTGCTTGGGAACCCACGGGCCTAAGGAATTCAGGACTTTTGGACTTAGGCCGCGTCTACACGAGATGCAGTGGCGTCGCATGGCACGAACTGTGATGGGACGCTATTGCGCAGTAGTAATGAGCACTGTGCAGTCAGCGTCACCGAGAAGCCGTGTGGGGATGCTACTGAGAAGTAACACCGATTACTGCGTCGTCATTTAGTACTTGGGTATGCAAGTAACAACTGCGCAGTCAGCGTCTCACGTAGACGCGGCCTTAGACACCTAAATCCTGCTGTGTCCCATTTCTGGCACCTAAGTGCTTTTGTGAATCTGGACCCTGGTATTTCGCTTTCTGAGGTGACCAACACCTTAAGCTCCAATTAGCCATAAATGAAAGCTTAGCAGAGTTTAACACGTGAAAATATGGTCCTCAGCTACTTAAACCAGGATGGTAGGATATTTTAAAAAAATAGATTATATGCTGCTGCTGGAAGTAACATCTGTATTTTCCAGACATTGTGGTTGTGATTGTTATAACCATTATGACACGCGAATGAAACTTTTTTTTCATAACACTTTGCCATACTTTTTGGAATCAATTCTCTAATTGGGGGCTCTTGTTTTTTCCAGTGAGTTGTTCTCAACAGCTTTGTACCCATGACCCGGTAAGGGTAGTAACACCAGCCTCAAGAGATGAAAAATCAGGAGAATACAAAAAATTGTGCCTTTGGGGACGTTGGGTGATTTAACATCCTCAATTTCTCTACTAATGCTGTGATCACAGAGGGTTGAAAAGTCTACTTTTGTTGTACGCAGAAATACACGCTTCACGCGCTTCTTTTTGGCTGCTCAAATGGAGGTTCCACTTATACAGAGGAACTGCTATTCGTTTCCTATTACTGTCTTGACTCTCTCCCATCTTATTTTCCAACCTGACCCCAATTTTCTCCTACATTACCAGGGCTATAAAATGCAGCTGTAAATTCATATCTGACACACAAAACACCCCTATGTATCAAGTTTTCCTATTGCATTTCAGTAAAGATTTATGTGAGCTGCAGATCTTTACACATTAGAATTTCTTTATATCAACCAGTCTGCCAACTGCTGGAAAAATCCTACCCCGCCAAGCAGACATGCCTAGAAATCAGTGCACTAACTGTATCAGGAGCCCTTAAGCAATAACTATTAAAAAATAGACAATTTTCTCACGGTCAAAAACTTTCAGTGTATTCTGCTTTCTGTTCATAATTTTGATCAGCTACAGAAACACACAAATATTTGCATCTCTAGCTATACACATTTAAGACTCATAATAGCTTAGTTTTGTGGTTTTTTTAAATCTCATTTTGATCATAATTAGTTGATCAAACAGCTAGGAAAAAAAAATCAATGATCCTTTTCTCCTGCTGGCCCAGGACTTCTCCTCAGCCCAGAACCTAGTGGTACCTTTGTCCTATTCTTCCCTCCCTACCTCCTACCATCCGAGTCCTCTGTTTGCTACTAGTGAGATAAAGCCAATCCAGGCCTCGTTGGCAAGAACCATCGCCCTGCGGGCCCCTGCAAACACTTCTTTCTACATGTCCAGTCCTGAAAAGTGCAGGAATGGCCAAACATCTAATATCATTGTGCAAATTCCTCTTGTAGGTGCCAAAATGTGAGGACTTACATTAAACTTGGGAGATGAAAATAATAGGCGGCTACTTTTTTTTTTTAGTGTCACTATTCTGACTTCAAAATCCCAGAAATATTCCCACAGGACCTTTTGTTAATAAATAGCCAATTATTTTGACTACTTGTATTTCAAGTACAATCTGACAACTGTCATGAGTGCCCCATGCATTGATTTCTATATTTCTCATTGTTCAATCCCTATATTTTTTTTATCCTGAGAAACGTGAGTTACTAGTTAAATAATATTGTAAAGGTTGCTTGTCTCACTCTAAACAGACTTTCTTATTTTGCATGTCAACCCCCATTCTTTCTGAATATCCAACTCTTCCCCATGGCATATAATATAATGCCCATTTTTTTTTTGTCATAAAAGCTAGCTGAAAAAAAACACCACCTTATATATATATATATATATAAGGGTGTGCATGCATGTGTGTGTGTGTGTGTGTGAGTGAAAAGCAGAAACCTTATATATATGTGTGTGTATATATGCACATATTTTATTATATATGTGTATTACATATTTGTATATATTTTATATTTTATAATTTTATTTGTGTGTGTATATATATGTGTGTGTGTGCGCGTGCATGTGTGCAATAGTTTATATTTGTTTCCTAATGAACCCTACGCTATCATAGCTATCAAAATTAGCTCTCTATATAGAGCAACCATTCTAGCAAGTTGAGAAACACAAGGTATAACTATATGCCATTGAGAGGCAGGTAAAGTATCTCTCCATGACCTAGCTCAGGTACCAGAAGCAATACAGCTATGTTAGCTTGGCACTCCACCAAGGTTAATCAGCCCTGCTGAAATGCGGGACATATTATCCCAAGCACAATGCCGCGCTACTGCAGTCATTCGGATTCCCTACCTAGCCTGAGTAGCTTTGCATGTAGTATGTTGCTGCACCACTCCATATAAATATGCTTACAAGCCCAGATGCTATTTTACTACTAAGGTACCCATGTTGTACTTATGTGATTAAGTGGCTAACTGTGATCCATCCTGAGGAAGCAACTCACCCATCTTTTGCCAGCAACCTGAAGTTTAGGGAACTTCCCTAGGAAATGGGAGGGTTGGATGCTAGTTCCCTTCACTCAGAAGGGGCTTGAACATGTACCTTCCACTTCCTCAGGAAGTATCCTACCCTCCAGGCCACAGTTTAGGTAGGGCTGAGGGCACACTCCATTTGGCTGGTCGAGGCTGGCCCGCTGAGCAGAAGGAATGAAGGATCCCTAGGATTAGGAGAGCAAGCAAGTTGCATACAGCCTGGGTGCAGCCCAGTGCGCGGGGTACTCTCCTAAGGGGCAGGGAGTCCTGGCTTCTGCTCCCAATGCTTCTGCTCCCTGATACTACAAAGGCACATACAGAAAAAGAAGGATGGAGAAGGGATTTTCAATTTGTTTCCTAGCTGTGCCACAAATCTGTAATAATGTTTTCACTGATTACATCCTCCTGCTCAGCACTTACACTCACTGAGCAGTAAGCAGTAAATGGTCACTGGATAAAATGCTACTAATACTGTCAAGCCAAGGGTCCACCTAAGGCTAATGTGGTTATAGCACATAAGTGTTAGTAACCTGTGTCTATAACTCCACAGCCTGCAGCATGACTCCAGAGCGGGGCTTGAACTCACATCTCAGGAGACGCAATTAGCCACCTTAAGTACTCTTCTGCCACACCCCCACATCATCCTTTTTGATGTGTAAAGGCCATTTTTTCTTGAATGATTTCAGCGTGTATCTGTATCTCTTAAGGCACTAGCTATATAACCTGACCAGTGCAAGTTGTCCTGGTAGCAATGCCTGGGGCTGCCTGGCCAGTGCAAACCACTGAAGAAAATATTTTTAAATGTAAGTCGATGGAAAGCCCACCCCAGGCAAAACAAGTCTGGGAAAACTGGCTTCCACGCACCCTGCCCTTGCATATGCCCTCTTCCCGTTCAGCTGATCCATACAACCTTGGATAATTTTAATAATTTTATAATGAAGTTTTAAAAACATCTCTCTCTCCCCTCCCTCCACCTTCTCAGTGAACATTTTATTTGATACAAAATGGAACAGCTTCAACAGGAGAGATTGCACGTGCACCATCGCAGCATATGCTAGCACCCACAGCACAGGGCAGTCAGTCTCAATCAGGGTGCTATAACACTCTGGGGTGCTAAGAGACACTTTTAAGGGTGCCATGGGATGCCATGTAATGCTAGGTGTGATTCACAAGATAAATCAGAGATTTCCAATAGGAATCCACCATGCCAACACCATTGTGACCTGCTGTGGGCTTTCTGAGTTCTTTGCAACAGAACTGCTTTATTATTTTTCCCACTGTCAAAAAACAAGAGAAAGCTAAGGTTTTCCAAGGGGGAGCTGGAGTCTAATGAGGGATGGCTTGAGTCTAAGCAGGCGGAGAACCACTGGATTAGAAACAGTGCAAGGTAAGGATTCAACTCCTTGCTCCATACTGGATCAAAGCAGGTTTTGAACCTGGAGCTCTCACACTAGCAGGGGCAACGCTCACCCCACTGCTCTATGGGGCTGGGCTGGCAGCAGTGCCACCTCCCTCTGGCTGTACCTTGGGTGAGGCGGGCAGCCGGGCTTAGCTGGCTAAATCCATGAGAGTCCCCGGCTATGAAACCTGAGCAGGCCCAGGCTCCCCCCTGCATCCCGGAGTTTAGTATCAAGCACTCTGAGAAGGGAAGCTGA